ATACTGTTTTTCATTTAACTTGATGGATATTATTTAAAAGGAATAAACTCTATTACTTATTGGAAAAAAACACCAGGGATAGAAGATCTGCATTCAAATATCAGGATGTCACTTTAACCTATGACCTTAGACAAACTATCTCCATCTTACTTGAGCCTCAATTTATCATCTATTAAAAAAAAGATAATAATATCCATTTCAGAGTTATTATGCAGATCAAATGGGATAAAAATAACAAATAAAAGCTGTAAAATGTTATGTACATGGAATCAATAAATATGAAGGAACACATTATAAGACATAGCCTCTAACAACAGCGGCAGTAATATTATAGGATGTTTGTATATTATTTTGATGTACTACTTCAGGAGTCCTCTGGTTCTGAATGGACTTCTGGGCAAGGTAGAATGTTCTGGATCATTCCTCATCAGCCAGAAGCATGCAAGGATCATTCTTAGTGGAAGAATGATTCCGATAATTGTCCTTATGGTTAAATTATCAAAATTAGAAAACAAATACTGCCACTTTCAGCATCTATAGAATTAGATATGACTTTCAGGAACAGTGTCATACTATATTTTCACAATATAGTTAACTATTTTGTTAAGTACTCTGGTCTTGATTGTGGAGCTGAGGATGACAGTTCAGTACCAATACCATCTCACAGCATCGTTAGTAGAGGAAGCATATGTCTCAGTGCCTCAGGAACTGGCTCAGCCACTGTCTGCCCACATGACCTTGGACAAGACGTACTTGTAAAATGAGAGCTAACTGAATGGTCAGCAGTTCCAACCCGTCCACTTTGCAGAATAAAAAGTGGCTTCTGTAAAGACTGTAGACCAATAGGGCAGTTTTACTCTGTCCTATAGGTTCACTGTGAGTTAGAATTTACTCGATGGCAATGGGTTTTAGCCTAGATAATTTGCAAAGGGCTCCATAAGGTCTGACATTCTATAATGTCAAAACATTACTGGCATTTTACATATCGAGATGACTGCTTTCTTGGATATTTCCCTTTACATTTCCTAATATGTAAAAATAAGTTTAAGAACACTTAAACAGAAATGGAAATTTGAAACAGAGATTTAAAGTAGTTTCAAGATACATTTTTTCCAAGAGTAATGAATATTTACTCTGTTAAAGTAAAAGCAAGCTCTTGCCAGGAAGAGAATGAATTCCACAGAGTGAAAGCCAGCACTTCAAAATGATAAAGCTATGGGAACAATTTATAATAAGAGAACAAAGAACCTGAAGTACACTACTTAATTGGTAGTTACAAATTTAGATCATTTCAAAGCGGGACTTCCTATTTCAGAAGCTCATAAGGAATGATTTCCTGTAATGGGAGCCCGTAAGATGATTGGATTAAAGTACACATGTATCTTTCTTCGATTGATGACAGTGTGGTGATTTCAAGGGTGTCTGACCAGAGGCGGTCACTAGGTAGTTACCTCATAATATTGGACATTCCTTCTTTAGAAACAGCCTGCTCAAGCAGAATTTTCCTGTGAGTATTTGCATGGAATATTTAGATAAGGGTCAGATCTCCTCTTAGGAACATTGTTTGTACAGTCTTAACTTTATCACAAAGGAAAAAAAATTTCCTTAGCTATATGATTACATCTGCTTATATAATGGTTGTAGGTAAGATGAAAATAAAACTAACAAAATGGAGTCTAACCCAGACCTTAAGTTAGGCATTTCAGATTTTACCAAGTACCTCAATTTTAAATCCCCTTACACACATTTAAACTGAAATACACAGATAAAATAGTTGTTCAATTAAGGAACATTTATTCTTTCCCACATGTAAATGAAATTGCAGTTATAAACATAAACTATGAAACATTTGTCTTACAAGTTAATCTGCTATATGATTATAATCTTGAGATGCGAGACAAGATAATTATTAAGCCCTGTAAGCTCTGAATTCTTCAATTCTAAAGAAATACTTGACATTTTGCAAGTCTAGTTTATTATCTTCTTTTTCTTCACATGTTATAGTCCATTCTTGTTACAGAAGAAAACCCATAGCATAAAATTAAACAGAAATAAAGGTTTTCAATAATGATTTAAAGTAGCTTCAAATACATTTACAATGAAATATGAGATAAAATGGTGGCTGAGTTAGTAAACATTTATTCTTTTTCATAAATTAATGAAATTGAGACTGTGAACATGAACCAAGATATATTTGTCTCACAGGTAACTCTCAGTTTTTTTAATTATAAAACTAAAGACATGTACAACACAGCAGTTACACGATACTATTTCAAAATACGTTTTTGACCTATAAAAATAAACGTTCTCAATGACAAATTTTAGATATGCAACTTAGACCAAGGGTATCAACTTTGTCATAAGAGATAACCAAACATGCACAACAGACCCCCTTTGGCCCGCATCAGAAACTGAAATCAGATACTTTTAAGGCAGGAAAAAAACATGCTACCAGAGCTCCTAAACTTTAAGTGGTTAAGGTCTAAAGACAGAATATTTATAAATAATTAGTTTCTCAACTAGGATTATTTATTATGTATATACTATGCAAAGTATTGGGAACACAAAGAAGAATCAAACATGGTCCCAGTTGTATGTTCTTTATGGGAAGAGGAACCCAAATTTATTACATTTACCAATTTCTATGGTGTAAAAACTCCCACTATGAAAGATTTCAAGCTACCAATTATTTGACAACTGGCTAGCAAAATTCCTAAAAACTTAGAAACATCTCCAAAATACAATGCATGGTTCTCACCCTTAAGTAGCTCATAATCTCTTAATAGTTGCATATTTTAGAAGACAGAAAAGAATTGGGAAGAAGGAGAAACTTCCTATAGTTGTATTTTATTTTTTGGAAGTAGTTTTAGAAGTTAAAAGTAGTAGTAAAATCTGAGTCATTGTTGGGCCTCTCTTATTCACTATTTCTGTTTTCCTCTTGTTCAAGATTATTTGAGAACATTAAAATGTATATTTGCAGAGAAGAAAAGAGTGAGTGAAAAAGGAGGAAAAGAAACAATTCTAAGAAATACAAACACAGTTACATTTGCACTGGAGGAAAATACTCACTAAGATAAGAGAAAATATATTATAACTGTTAAAATTCCATCTTATTTAAGCCTGCTCAGTACATTTCACATGCCTGGAGATGTGTCATATCCTCTTTGGCTGCAGGTTTGATGAGATTAGCTTGCTTCCTTTGCACAGCTCTGAAGAGCACGTTGCCTCACACCACTGACACTATCAACTCAATAAAACATCAAATTCTGGAGTCTGAAACTGCTTCTTCTTAGCATAATAACTCCCTTGGGTCAGATCTTGGGCAAGTGCCGGCTAGGGTGACCAGGGAATTCTTTAGGTAGTAAAACATGGAGTCTGCAGGTTGGGCATGTCCCTTGTTGTAGCAACCATGGTCTAATGCACTGAAGAAGCAAAAAGATCCAGGTCAGCCTCACAGATTTAGCCTAGCAGGGGCAACTATTACTCAGGCATACCAATCAACATATCCTCTGATGGATCTTAAAATCTTATCTGGTAGACCACCAGGCCAAATGCTACAGTCATACCTCCTTCTCTGTGGATTTCTAAGCAGCATAGCTGGTAATAGCAGATCACCTTCTTTCAGCCATTATATCCTATTAATTGGCACCCTGAAGCCCCAACCCTGATTTTCAAAATAACCTCAAAGATTTGGGAAATGAATAGCAGTTCTTTCTTATAAGATAATCAAGGAAACTTGCTATATTTATATTGTTTCTCTAGTTTATTTATATTTTTCTCATCTCATAATCCAGAGAAAGTAGTAAGTAAACATGAAAAGTCACAAATGTCTGGCATCGAGAGTAGGTGTTTTGAAGTTAAAATTTCTTGGTGATGGATGTGCTTCTCAGATTGCTCTTTCTTGGTTAACGATGGTAGTAAATGACTGTTAAGCCATTTACCTGAATACTAGCCCTCCAAAAACAAATCATTTTTAGCTGTCTAATAAAAGAAGCCTAGGCCAGATGAGAGACAATTAGGAATAGGCAGTACATATGAGTCTAACTCTAACCCTAAAAAGTAATCTGAATGAAACACTTGTTTCCTATTCAATGGGCAATGAGAAAGAAAGAATAAAATAAGTTTTGCTTAAAATTTATTTTTTAAATATTAGGACTTAAAAATGACAGATCGCAATGTCTGGTGGTTAAAAATCTTTCCTGGAGATCTTTTGGGACTGGTCATTCTGTACATATCTCTCTCTATACCAGAACAGATAGAGAATAAAATTCTATACCAGGTATCATGTATCTTTGAATAACGTTTTAGATATTGTTTGAATGAATTAGCTATTGTTCATTTCCCTGAGAAACTTTTCTTGTGTAAGATTACCTTCTCCTATGTTAAAGTACATCTCTGCAACAGAGGACTTGTACCATAAATTGCATATCAATAGCACTTACATAGCAGCAACGCCAGGAATTAATCTATATAAATGCCAAGAATCAAAAGAAGATATGCCAGCATCACATTTTTCTAATAACAAATACTCAAGCCTGAGCATACTGAAAGATAAGTACAGGACCCTGGAAAGATAAGACTCAGGCTTTATAACGGTATAGGCCATTACTTTGTGTGGACGTAATTTTCTAGACAAAGGACACTATGTGATATTTATAACACATCAAGGTGAAGTGGCACTGTTACTAGTTCTGCCACTAAAATGCCATGTCAGTTAATCCCAGTTAATCAAAAGAAACTGCCAACTCTGTGCTATTTTAATCTCAGAGTTGGCCAATTCCCTTGCAAGGTGCCAGAGAGCTGAGAAAGCATGGTGTAATCCATGACTAGGTATGAGGGAACAGGTTCTTGTGTGGTACCCAAAAGTCCACGAGAACCCAATGAGAACTCAAGACACAGCAAAGGATGATGATGTATGCACATGACTATAAGTAAGGCAGTAGGAATCTCACTTAGCTGGTCAATGGTAAAATATTAAGAGTATAGGTTTAAAGGGTTACCTGAGTATGGAATTTGTGAGCACAGGGCAAAACAGAGAGGTTTTCTGGAGAGAGATTCTCATGACAGATCACACAAGGCTCCTCTTCCTCCTCCTCATCATTCTGGGGAAAATAAAAACAGAGTTCAACTCAGCCAATTTCCTTCCCAAACGTCAAAAGTGTTCAGAATCAAAAGTTCGTATCTCACCAAAGTATTGGTTCCTTCCCATGTGGCTGGACCTTGTGCGTTAAGAGGCCTCCAGACTGGTTTTGGGGGTTGGGCAGCATTAGGCTGTGGGGAACAGCTGGGTGAAACATCATTCCCATTCGATACTGCTTTATCTGGACTCTGAAAATAAGAATATTATATTTTTTTTTCTTTAATTTTTTTGGAATGGTTCTAAAACAGTAAGAACTGAAGGAATAGCCCACAATGGGGCACAGCAAGAATTAGCAAGAGGGAAAAGGTCAATCAGATTCATGAGAAACCTTGAAACAAAACATTGGCAATTCTTACTTATATATGCATATGCAGGTAATGACAAAAATAACTCCCTATGTTCTTTTAATTAACAAAAGTCTGTCCATAAAATTAGTAAAAAAAAAAATTCTTTTTTCAGATCATTCAGAGTAACCTAAATTTTAAGAGAGCAGTTTTATTTTAGAATGATTACATGGTAGGTATTTCAAAAAGACTTCCTTTATCATTTGTCAAGTTGAAGTTGTTGAACTGCTTACTCTTAATAGATAATTAAATATGATTAGCAGTTACTGATTTTCTAACATGTTATGGAAATAATTAAAACTGCTAACTCCTAGACTTGAAGGCAGAGATATAAGGCTTCCTTACCTGAGAACTTCTAGAGTCAATAAGTTGGGAAATCTTGAAAACAATTTCATCAAATGTCATTGCAGATAAGAACTTTCCATTAGTCTCCTTCAGTTTTCGTAAGAAATCTGTGAGCTCCTTTCTGGAAAATATCAAGGAAGAAGTAGTGGCGACTTTTCCTACTATCTTGGGGCTATGCCCCCAAACAAGATATAAAATCATATCACATGATTGGTATGTAGCATATAGAGGTAACATTTGAAATCCAAGATCTAAAAAAGTAATCACATATCCATCTGCATTTATCTTAAACCAGAATTAAAACTAATGTGTTCAAAATTAATACTAACGTGTCCAGGAGTGATATAGTTTGTATTTACTTTCCAAAAAGAAAACTTAAACCTTATTTTTGAAAGGTCACTGTGTGAAAACTGAGTTTGTTAACTGCTTATCAGTATACTGAGTTCTTTATATCTCCCAAATGTTCTCTTACTCAGCACTAAAACATTCCTTTTGAACTATGTTGCTATTTGTTTCTTTTCTATCAAGGTTAAGACTCTTACTTTTGTAAAGCTCAGAAGCAGGAAAAAAAAAAAGATTAAAAAGAACAGAAAAACAAATATTAAAAGACATTTAATTATCTGACAAAGGAGCCTAGGGTTAGTTTAATTAATATGTTTCTTTGCAGTTCCCAAGGTCTACTGACCCCAAGTGTTCATCTACATTTTTGGTAGGACAGGTCAGGATGAAATGTTTTATTCTCCCAAGTGAAGTGTCATGTAAGTACCAACCTTCTAAAACTACCTTTGATTTCTATTTCTATTTATTTCTATTATATTTATTTCTATTTTAATTCTGTACATATAGATTTAAAACAACTATAGTACACTTCTAGTTTCAATATTTACTCACTATCCTGGTATTTATAAAACCATACTCTAATCCTGAGGCAAAGAGCATATATATAAAAGTATTGATATTCAATAAAAATATTGGGAAAAACTAGAATTATTTCCTTGAATATAAGAGCAGAGATAAAGAATCTTTATTTTTATAGGAAGAGAATTAAATATCCTTTGGCTAAAGTCAGAACTGTGAAAGACCCAGTGAAATCATAATTTCTTGCATTTAATTGTGTTCCCTAACACAGATATCATGAGGTACCTCAATAAAATTAAGGAAATAGACAATGAAAACCTGATGATGTTTGCGCTTTTGTAGCATCCAATCAACTTAAAATTCACTTTGGAAATAGGTTATTAAAGTAATTGTTGCAGCTTTTGGCATTAAATTTGGATAGGTTTACAACTATTTTACTTTTAGTAAATAGTAAAAAAAAAATAAGTACTGTACTTTTAGTAGATGAGCAAACCTAAATTAAGGAAAATTATTCTCTCATGACTTAAGACTAATATTAGCGAGGACGATTATCTCTTCTTGGTAAAATATCATTTTCCTTACCAAGGTCATGAAAAAGAAATGTCTGTGATTTTGGGGGTGTTAAGTTTCTTTGAAATGTCTCATTAATTATAGCTATGGAAACTGTAGAATATGATCTGTGAACACCACTAAATACCAAGGTACCTAGACTGTTGCGGGAAGGCAGTTTTCAGTCTGTCCACAATCCTCTCCCAGTTCATCATAGGAGGGTCTCCCAGACTTGCACTGGGAGACACAGACTCTCCCACAGGTACCGGCATAGTCCAGGCTATGCCAGTCATCTATAAGGAGAATAGAGTTGTTACTGATAGTTGTTACCAACTTCAAATAGTAAAATGTCAATATGCCATTTTTAGCCTATATAGTAACTGGAAGTGGGTGGAATAAAGAATGAAGAAGAGTCAAAACTGACATGCATCTTTCCTTTTTAGAGATGCTTCTTTTTTATCTGGTAAAATATTTCTGATTGAATTACGTTCCCAAAAAATATGTGCTGCAAATCCTAATCTCTATGCGTGTGGTTATAATCTCATTTGGGAATGGGTTGTCTTTGTTATGTTAATGAAGCAGGATTAGGGTAGAGTATACCTTGAGTCAACATCTTTTGAGATATAAAAGAAATGATACAAGAAAGCAGTTCAGAGACAGGATAAGATAGATGCCAAGGCACATGGAAGTCACCAAAGAACAGGAAGCAGAAGAGACAAAGACCTTCTTCCTCCAGAGCCAACAGAAAAAGTAATGTCATCCCCTAGAGCTGGTGCTGTGAATTCAGACTTCTAGGCTCCTAAACTGTAAGAAAACAAAAATTTCTGTTTGTTAAAGCCATATACTTCTGATATTTCTGTTATTGCGGTACCAGATAACTAAGACAGAATTTGATACTGGAAGAGTGGGTGATGCTCTAACAGACACTTAAAATGTGGAAGTGGTTTGAATTGGGTAATGAGTAGAGGGTGGAAGAGTTTTAACGTACTTAATAGCAAAAGTCTAGATTGCCTTTAAGAGAGTGTTGGTAGAATTATGGACGTCAAAGGCAATTCTTAGTGAGGGCTCAGAAAGAAGTGAGGAGAGTTATAATAAAGAAAGTCTCTATTCATCTTAGAGAATACATAAGGCACCAGCAACAGAATATTGATAGAAATGTGATCATTAAATTTGCTTCCAGTGAAGTTTTAAAAGAAAATGATGAACATGTTACTGGACAATGGAAGAAGGGTGATGCTTTTTATGCAGGGGCAAAGAACCTATCTGAATTATACCCAAATATTTGGTGGTAGGTAGAACTGTAAGTGATGAACTTGGATATCTGGCTGAGGATATTTCTTGTTGTTTGTTGTTGTTGGGTGCTGTTGAGTCATCTCCAAACCATACCAACACTATGCACAGCAGAACGAAACACTGCCTGGTCCTGTGCCAGACTCATGATCTTTGCTATACCTGAGACCATCATTTCAGCCACTATGTCAATCCATCTTGTTGAAGGCCTTCTCCTTTTTCATTGACCCTCCACTTTACCAAGAATGCTATCTATCCTTCTCCAGGGAATGGTTCTTTCTGACAACACGACCAAAGTAGAGGAGACGAAGTCTGGCCATTCTCGCTTCCAAGGAACATTCTGGCTGCACTTCTTCCAGGACAGATTTGTTAGTCTTTTTAGCAGACCATGGTACTCTTAAAATTCTTCTCCAACACCACAACTGAAAAGCATCAACTCTTCTTTCATCTTCTTTATTCATTGTCCAGCTCTCACACACATAAGAGGCGACTGAAAATACAATGGCTTGGGTTAGGCACACCTTAGTCTTCAAGGAGACATCTTTGTTCTTCAGCACTTGAAAGAGGTCTTTTGCAGCATATTTTTCCAATGCAATACATCGTCTGATGTCTTGACTGCTGCTTCCATTGGTGTTGATTGTAGAACCAAGTAATATTTAGTCTTTACAATATCAATCATTTCCCATGTATCATGAAGCTATTTATTGCACCAGTTCTGAGGATTTTGTTTTCTTTACATTGAGATGTAATCCATACTGCAGACTGTAGTCTTCAATCTTCATCAGTAAGTGCTTCAAGTCATCCTCACTTTCAGCAAGCAAAGTTGTAGCATCTGCATATCCTAGGTTGTTAATGAGTCTTCCCCTAATCCTGATGTCACATTCTTCTTCATACAGTCCAGCTTCTGATTATTTGTTCAGCATACAAGTTGAATAAGTATGGTGAAAGGATACAACCTTGACACACTCCCTTCTTGATTTTGAACCATGCAGTATCCCCTTGCTCTGTTTGAACAAAAGCCTCCTGATTTATGTACAGGTTCCTCATGAGCACAATTAAGTGTTCTGGAATTCCCATTCTTCTCAATGTTATCCACAATTTGTTATGATTCACACAATCAAATGCTTTTGTGTAGTCAATAAAACATAAGTAAACATCTTTCTGGTGTTCTTTGCTTTTAGCTAAGATCCATCTGACATCAGCAATGATATCCTGTGTTTCATGTCCTCTTCTGAATCCAGCTTGCATTTCTGGAAGCTCTCTGTCAATATACTGCTGCAATTGTTTTTGAATTATCTTCAGTAAGATTTTACTTGCATGTGATATTAAAGATATTGTTCGATAATTACCACATTCTGTGGGATAACCTTTCTTTGGAATGGGTGCAAATATGGGTCTCTTCCAATAGTTGGCCAGGTAGTTGTCTTCCAAATCTCTTGGCATAGCTGATTAGGTGCCTCCAGTGGGGCATCCGTTTGTTGATCCATCTCAGTAGGTATTCCATGAATTGCTGGAGCCTTGTTCTTTGCCCTTCCTTCAGTGCAGCTTCAACTTCTTCCTTCAATACCATTGGTTCTTGATTATATGCCACTTCCTGGAAGGGAAGAACATTGACCAATTCTGTTTGGTACAGTGACTCTTTGTACTTCTTCCATCTTCTTTTGATGTTTCCTGCATCATTCAATATTTTGTTCATAGAATCTTTCAATATTGCAACTTGAGGCTTAAATTTTTTCTTCAGTTCTTTCAGCTTGAGAAATGCCTAGCATGTTCTTTCCTTTTGGTTTTCTAACTCCAGGTTTTTGCACATTTCATTATAGTAATTGGTTCTGTCTTCTCAAGCTGCTCTTTGAAATCTTCTGTTCGGCTCTTTTATCTTGTCATTTCTCTCATTTGCATTAGTTACTCTCCGCTCAAAGGCAAGTTTCAGAGTCTCTTCTGACATCCATTTTGGTCTTTTCTTCCTTTCTTGTGTTTTTAATGACCTCTTGCTTTCTTAGCAAGATCTTAAAGGAGTTGTGTGGTTTCTCCTTTCCACTTATAGTAAAAGTTGAGAGGAAAGAGATGGACTTAAAAATTAACTGTGCAAAATAAAAACAAAAGTTCAAGATTTGGAAAATTCTGTTGTACAAACTGAAGGCGCATACCCTAGAATTTTCATCAAGTACATGGCTGCACAAACTTTTTAAAACAGATTAGGCTTGACTGATGGATCTAACCAACTACTGCAGAAGAAAATCCATTAACCTAGACTGGAGGTTACAGGGAAAGAATGAAAGGAAAAAATGTTGTCTTCCTCTTAGAATTCTACTAGGCAGGAAACAGGCCAAAGGAGCTACATTTGTTGTCCTCCAGGAAAAGAAAAGGATCATCCCTAGAGCTGTCTGGAGATCAGCAGAAATGCTTGAAGGAACAGGAGAAGCAGGGCCTTCTTGATTTTCAAGCTCTTTGATCTCAACGGGATGAGGCCACAGCCACCTAGCTTTCAAAGAGTTGGCTCTTTGCCAACTCAGTTTCAGAGTGTGAGCTGCTATTAAGGTGTGCCGGGAGAGGGGGTCAACTCCTAAAGCCAAGGGAGCAGAACTGCCATCCCAATGGACCTGAAAGGTAGAGCTGAAGCCCAGTGCCAACAGGGCTCTATCCAGAATCCAAAGGGTATGGCCAACACCCAGAGTCTGGAGGGCAGGGCCACTGCCCAGATGATCTCAGCAAAGAGAGGATTATTTTCAAGGCTTGAGAGCTTATGTGCTGAGTTTGGGATTTGCTTGGTATCCATTATCCCTTCTTTCCCTCCAATTTTTTCCATTTGTAATAGAAATGTTTTACCTTGTGCCTGTTCCACCACTGTAATTTGGAAGCAGATAACGTGTATTCTAGAAGAACCTCAACAAGATAGATTGACACAGTGGCTGCCACAATGCAGTCAGCTATATCAATAGCAATTGTGAAGATGGCACAGGACCAGGCAATGTTTCATTCCGCTGTACACAGGGTGGCTATGAGTCAGAACTGACTCAGTATCCCTAACAACAACAGCAAACAAGCGAGCAGAGTAGATATGGAGTAACATAGATGCCAAGACATATGGGGATCTCCAAGGAACCAGGAAGCAGAAGATAAAAAAAGAATGATCTTCCTCCAGATATGACAAAGGCAGAAAGCCTTCCTCTAGAGCTAGAACTCTGAATGCAGACTTCTAGCCTTTTAAACTGTGAGAAAATAAATTTGTTTGTTAAAGCCATCTACCTGTATTGTAATTCTTTTCAATCTACACAACATCATGCTAAAATAAATTATCTATTAAAAATATCAATCTACCCTGGATTTTTTACTGACATCGAAGTAAAATTATAATTGTAAGGATTCCTAGCATAAAATGTACTTAATTTTTGTATCCAGAAAGTAAGCTAATATCAGCTTATGAAATAATTAAATAATATATGCAAAGAATTTATAACAATGTGTAACAAAGAAGTATTCATTTAATTACCATTCAAACTATCATCATCATCACAATCACTATCACCATTACCATCAACATCATTATCTTTATATTAAATAAATGAACAAAGAGAAGATCATTCATTCAAAAAGCTCAATATACTAATAAAGAACTAATTAATGTCTATTTTGTCAAGAAAGGCTCTGTACCAGGGGAACTCTAGGTTGACCAGGTGCAGAGGTGACTCCAGGGCAAACTGCAGGCATTTGAGGAACAGTGAGTATAGGTCTAAAGTAAGATTCTTTCACAAGGGGTCTTCCCAAGAACTGCTGCATCTAAAATAGAAAAAGTAAAAACAACAATAGCAGCTAAACACTTATATATATTTATAAATATAACAATCTAAACTCACATAATAATGTTTGGGGAAAAACAATGATTTGAAATCAAGATTCAAAACCTATAGCACATTAAGAAAAAATATGTTCTATAATGAAATAAATATGAATATTTGGGAAAAATTAAGCAATGAAATAATAATGGAAAGATAACTGAAGGAGAGAGAGGAGAACTGGGTTCTATGCCTACTTTTCCTCTACCTAGCTGGGTGTGTTGTAGTTAATTACTTAGTGTGGCTTTTCTAGCCATAAGTCTTTATAAACTCTGTGATGGAATTTGCTGTGAGCAACTGAGGAGCTCCTGATTGTAAAAGTTATCCACCTGGGGTATTTCTGTTGGGCGCAAGACAAAGCAATGTTCTAGGAGGTTCCTGCTCTCTCTCAGGTGGTTAGAATTCTGATGTTATGATTGGTTGGTTTAGCTACTCTGCCAGGCCCAAAAGGAGGCCTCCTAGAGGCAGAAGAAGTCTCTCTCTCTGACTGTTGGTTGAGAAAGATGTGCTGCTGAAAGAGACACACGCTGCTGGGAAAGAGATGCAAGAGACACACATTGCTGAATAAGACCCCAAGGGACATGCACTGTTGGGGGAGAGACTGTTAGGAGAGAGACTGTCGGCTGTCGGCTGGGAGAGAGACTGAGCATTTTTCCTGAACTTGAATTGTAGCCTGGTGCTTCCCTAATAAACCCCATAATCTGTGAGTTCTGTGTGGCCACTGCAGCAAATTATCGGACCCAGGAAAGAGGTGGTGGATGCTGTGGGAGGAACAGTTGGTGAAAGGGCTGGAGGGAGGCAGCATGTCTGGCCTCATAGGGATAGGCCTTGGGCTGCTGATGGTGATTCTGTCTTCCTCTTGTGGGGTTAGAGGAGGTCAAAACATGTGGCCTCCTTGCTCTTTTTGCACTGGGTGACCTTGATTCCCAAGTTATCAATCTATACAATGAGAAAATTGGTTTGGATAATATAGTGATTAAGGCTGTATATAAACTTGGATGAGCCATGATTCTCTGGTTTGGCAGTTATGATGTAGTCTGGCAGTGAAGTAATGATGTAATCATCCCCCATGAAGAAACTTTATATAAGGTAATCACTTCCATGATGAAATCTGCTATGAGCAGCAAATCAGTTGAAAGGGAGCTTCCTTGAGGGTGTAGCCTGCATGCAATATACATGGGCATTCTGGTAAAGTTCTCTGGCTTTTTGCTTGATCTAGAAGCCCCATCTGGCTCATCATCACATGCCCTTCAGTTCACTGAGCTTGAGCCAGTGACCTACCATCTTACTTGCCAATCTTGGATTTGACAGGCTGTGTAGCCAGCTGCTTATCATCTGACCTGTTGATGTTGAGTGTTTATCAGCCCCTGCAGCTATGAATCAGGAACAGCCTCCAGCCTAACATCTAACCCATGGACTTTGAACTTGCCAGCCTCTACAACTGTGTGAGCCATTTCCTTGAAATAAATCTGCATCTATCCAACTATCCATCTATTTATCTATCAATCTATCTATTTCTCTATCTACCCACCCACTCATCCACCCATATGTAAAATTCACTGGTTTTGCTTCTCTAGAGAACTCAGACTAAAACAGATGATTTTTAAGGTTCCCTCCCAACTGTAAAAACATGTTATTACTGTTTTTAGGCAACACTGAGATGATTCTGACTCATAGTGAACCTATGTCAACAGAAAGAATCACGGCCTGATTCTGCTCCATCCTCACAATCATTGCCATGTTTGAGCCCATCATTGCAGCCACTGTGTCAATCCATCTCTTTGAGGGTCTTTTCCTTCTGACTCTCTACATTACCAACCATGATATCTTTCTCAAGGGATTGGTCCCTTCTAACAACATGACCAAAGTACGAGAGATGAAGTTTGGCCATTCTTGCTTCTAAGGAGCATTCTGGTTGTACTTTCTCCAAGATAGATTCATTGATTCTTCTAACATTTCTATGGCATATTCAGTTTTCTTCACCAGCACCAGAACCCAAATGTATCAGTTCTTCTGCAGTCTTCCTTATTCATTATCCATCTCTCACATGCATATGAGGCTACTGAAGATACCATGGCTTGGGTCAGGCACACCTTAATCTTCAAAGTGACGTCTTTGCTCTTTAACACTTTAAAGATATGTTTTGCAGATGATTTGCAAGATGCAATATGTTATTCAATTTCTTGACTGTTACTTCCATGGGCATTGACTGTGGATCTAAGTAAAATGAAATACTTGACAACTTCAATCTTTTCTCCATTTGTCATCATAGTGCTTATTGGTCCAGCTGTGGAGGATTTTTGTTTACTTTATGTTGAGATATAATGTATACTGAAAGCTGTAGTCTTTGATCTTCACCAGTAAGTGCTTGAAGTCCTCTTCACTTTCTGCAAGCAAGCTTGTGTCATCTGCATATCATAGGTTGTTAATGAGTCTTCCTCTAATACTGATACTGTATTCTTCTTCATATAGTACAGCTTCTCAGCTTAAATGCTTAGCATACAGATTGAATAAGTATGGAGAAATATGATGCACACCTTTCCTGATTTTAAACCATGCAGTATCTCCCTTGTTCTATTCAAACAACTGCCCCTTGGTCTATATACAGTTTCCTCATAAGCACAATGAAGTATTCTGGAATTCTCATTCTTTGCAATGTTATCCATAATTCATTATGATCCACATGGGCAAAAGCCTTTGCATAGTCAATAAAACACAGGTAAACATCTTTCTGGTATTCTTTGCTTTCAGCCAAGATCCATCTGACATTAACAATGATATCCCTCATTCCATAACCTCTTCTAAATATAGCTTGAATTTCTGGCAATTTGCCATTGATGTACTGCTGCAATCATTTTTAAATTCTCTTTAGGAAAATTTTACTAGTACATGATATTGATGATAAGATTCAATAATTTCTATATTCTGATAGATTACTTTCTTTGGAATGGGAACAAACATGGATCTAAAAATTCTAAAAAGCAAGAATAGTTTTGGAGTCAGTAAAAATATAGGATTATGAAAAGGAGATCCTCACTAAGTGTTGTCCATCTTTGTGAACAATACTGATCCTCAGAAATTCTACAAAAGAAGCTAAATTGTCCATGAGGACATAAAGGTCTTGTTGTTGTTGTTGTTATGTGCCGTCGAGTTGGCCCCGACTCATAGCGACCCCTCCTTGGGTTTCCGAGGCAGTATCACTAC